CTCGCACCCCGCTCGGTCCTACCCACTTCGGTTGCCACAGCTTCAAACGACTCAAGAGTTGCCAACTTTTGTTGTGCTGCTCTTGCCTCCTCACTCGCTTCTTCACTCCCTTCATCTCTCCCATCCACACTCCCTTCATCACTCCCTCCTTCACTCCTTTTCACATCCTCACACCCTCCCTCACTCGGTCGCTCACTTTCTTCCTCACTCCCTTCATCAGCCCGCACCTGCGCCCGCTCCCCCACACCCCTCCCCACAACCCCTTCCCCTCCGCGCTTCTCCCCATCACCCTCATCCAGCGCACCGCTGCTGCAGCTCCTGCCACACGCACTCTCACTCCTCTCCCCACCACCTCTCACTTCCTCGCCCGCCAATTCATCACGCGCCATCACTTCACCCCCCACCAGGCCCTCTTCCATGCCTTGGCTGTCGTCGCTCTCCTCATCCCCTCGCTCCCCATCGCCATAGGAAGTGCAACCTTCTTCCTGCTCCTCCTGCTGCTCCTCCTCCTGCTGCTGCTGTTTCACCCCAGGCTCCTCGTCCCTTTCCCCTTTCGTCTCCCCTTCTTTTCCTCCCCTACTTCCTTCTTCCCCCCCGTACTGTTGAATCATGGCCATCAGTCGCCCCCTCATCGCCTCCCTCTCCCGCACCACACCCACCAGTTTCGCCGACACAGCCCCCACCACGCCACGTGCGCACGCCAGGTCATCCTCCAGCGCATGCCGCTCCGATTCCAGCTCAGCAACGGCCCGGTCCAGCTCAGCAATCCTCGCATACGCCGCCACCAGCTGCACCTGCAGGGATGCCACCTCCCTCCCCACCTGCGCCAGCTCCTGAATCCTCTTCTGCGCCACTTCCAGGCTGGCACGCAGCTGACGTGTCGTCTCCCGCCACGTGTCAAGCTCCAGGCCCATCGCCGCCATGCGTGTGTTGACACTCTCGACCAATCGGCGCGCTTCTGTCTCTTCTCGCTCCTTTTGTGTCCTTGCTTTCACTGCTCCCTCCTCCGCTCTCTCCCCATCTTCCTCCTCTGCTTTCTCCACCACTTTTTCTGTTGCTCCATCTTCCTCCTTAGTAGGAGATAATGGAGGAGCCATGGAAATTTCAGGCGCCTCCCTTCTTTTTGAGTGCGTCGCCCTTTCCAGCTCAGCACTCAGCCTCTCCGCCACGTGGCGCCACCGCGTTGCTTCCGCGTCCAGCTCAGCATTCACAGCCTCCAGCTCAGCAATCCTCCGATTGGCCACATCCAGCTTCGACTGGATCTCCTCTCGGATCTGCACGCCGCGTGCCAGCCGCTCCACCATCTCCTCCACGGCTGCCAGGTCAGCATCCACGTCAGCGCCCGCGTCAGCAGCATTCTCGGCCCGTGTCATCTCGATGACGTGGCGTGTCATCTGCACCTCGCGTACGAGCGAGTTGACACGCTGCTGGGCCTCGGAGAGAGAGAGCTGCAGCCCGGCAACTTGTGCTGCCTGTGCTGCGCCCGCTGCCTCTGATAAATCCGCTGCTTCCGCCGCTTCCGCCACTGCCAGCGACAATGGCAGGGATACTGCCGACTTGTTATCCCCAGACTCCTCACTTCCCTCATCCCCCCCGCCCCCCATGTTCTTCACGGCAACCGTGTTGCTTCGTTCAGTATCCCCCTCCACCTTCGCCTCTTCCCCTCCCTCCGTCTCTTCTTCACAATCACTGTTCGATTCATCATCTGACGAGTCGAATTCATCTCTGCCCGTCCGCGCGTGGCGCCCCTTGTCTTGCCTCCGCAGATCTCCGCCGTCCGTTCGTCGCAGGCGAGATGCCTGCCGCCGCCGAACCCGGCTGGTGCCCTCTCTCCGTCCGCCTTCCCGCGTCTTCCGCGTCCCCCGCACGCGCTTCGGCCGAATGCCGCACAAGGCGCGCAGCAGCTCCTGCGACAGCCCGGGGCGCGTGGCACACAGAGCGCGACACGTGGCACACAGCGCAGGATGAATCACGAGAGAGCAAGGGTCATCAGAATCGGAGGGCAAATCAGATCGTAGAACGAAGCAGACGAGCCAATACAAGGAGGCCGACTGCAAAGAGCAAAGGCACGAAACAGGAGGGGTGTGGGAGGCAGAGACGGAGGAAAGCTGGGGGATAGGTGGGGAGAGTTGGGGCAGAGAAGAGGGAGAGGAGAGAGAGAGAGAGAGAGAGAGAGAGAGAGAGAGAGAGAGAGAGAGAGAGAGAGAGAGAGAGAGAGAGAGAGAGAGAGAGAGAGAAGGGAGGAAAGAGGGAGGTATTTCCAAGTATAGTCAACTCACAAGGCCAAAGCAGGGAAGCTGGTTGGCGTCACACTCCTCCTCGGCCACGCGCGGCGGCTGACAGCCCACAGCCTTGCGAAGCAGCAGCAGCCGCAGCACCGCCATCCTCGCTACACCGTGCCTCGCCAGCACCGAAGCAACTCCTCTGGCTGCCACGGCAGCGTTTCGGACCGTCAGGGCGAGCGAGTTCGCCTCCGCCGAAGGATGCGGGAGGTGGGCAGAAGGGCGCGCTAGAAGGACAGGAACAGTCTGTTCCCGCTCGCGCAACGCGCACGACGCGCACGACGCGCACGGCTCGACCGTCACCCCTTCGCCCCGAAGGACAGAGAGTTGGGTCGTCACCGCTTCTGCCGCTGGATCCGCACCGGCGTGTGCCGCCGTTCCCGCCACCTCTCCCGCCGCCGGTTCCGCTACGAATTCCGCCGCCATCGTTGTAAGTTGCCCTTCGGAACTCCTTTCTTCAATATCGGCTGGTGCATTGCTGTCGTGTGGTCTCTTCGGGTGGCTGCGCGCTGAATCGGTAGCCGCAGCTTGTTGCTGACTTGTCGCTGCGGGGTCAACGAGTTGTTGATCCGCCGTCGTCGCAATCGTCGCCATCATCGTCGCCGTAGTCGACCGTATTGACAATTCGCCGTCGTACTTGTCGCCATCGTGTCCGCAAGCGACGTCATCCGATGGCGCGACGGCACCAACACGATCCGCCTCGCCGTCAGCTGAAGTACTCAATTCGTCTCGCAGCCGGCGGCTGCTGCTCAATGCGGTAACGCCATCAACTCGTCCGTCGTGACTGTCCTCCTTGCCACAAGTGCGGCAATCCGTGAACAAGTGGTTATCGGGCGAGCTGCATTCGCGATTATGACCGTTGGTATTGAGTGGTATAGAAGAAGGAAGAACGGAAGTTGGCGCATCGGCAGGAGGAGGAGGAAGAGGAGGAGGAGGAGCAGGAGCAGGAGCAGGAGCAGGAGCCAGAGCAGGAGCAGGAGCAGGAGCAGGAGCAGGAGCAGGAGCAGGAGCAGGAGCAGGAGGAGGAGCAGGAGGAGGAGGAGGAGCAGGAGCAGGAGCAGGAGCAGGAGCAGGAGCAGGAGCAGGAGCAGGAGCAGGAGCAGGAGCAGGAGCAGGAGGAGCAGGAGCAGGAGAAAGAGGAGCAGGAGGAGCATCATCAAGAGCTCTTGCTAGTGCGGCGGTTGCCGCGGCTGCAAGCGGAGCGCCAGCCGGTAACGATCTGCGATTTCTCGTCGCCGGCGACACGTCAAGTTCCGCATGATTGCTGCAAGGCGCGCCATCACGCCGCTCGTTGTGCCGCGACGAAGCAGCTCGCACGATGCGATTGTCTGACGCAAGGATGACGCCGGCACCGCCAGCAGCAGTAGAAGTAGAGAAATTCTCGATTGGTGCGATTGAACCATCAGTTCGTGACGCCGAGGTTGACGGGCGGGTCGTCGCACGCGTGCCTGAAATCACGCCTCTCGCAGCCTTGGCGGCTCGGCCAGCGTTTCGTAGAAGCTTACGTGCGAGATGGTGAAACTGATGGGCAAGGCTCCGACGCTCCTGTACCTTCAAGCTGGTGCTCAACTCGCGCGCGTCATTCCGCGTCTCTCCTTTTTCTTCCGCAGTGGCAGGTCGCGGGACCCCGCTTCTATATCTGCGGCTATCTGTTTGGCCGTCCCTCATTGTGCGCTCAACTCGCGTTCATCGCATGGAGAATGGAAGGAATGCCGTCTTCTCTAGGATTCCTTTCTCTGGGGGTCCAATCGGTAAAGTATGCTTTCCGAGCTTGTTTCTAAACGTGCAATGATGCTCGGATTCTGGGATTTCAATGTCGACGTCTGTTTTGATGGAAAGAAGACGAAGGGCAAGACGAGGGAGGGGCGAATTCTCTCGTTCGTTCATTCATCAATTTCAGAATACCCGCACCGCGTCTTCACCTGGAATGGCTTGACTCGCTCGTCATTGGCTGGCTTATCGTGACCAAAATATTTCCCGAAGCGCACTGCCCGAATCTTGTGGCAGCAGCAAGCAGTGGGTTCGGCAGGCGCAGACGGTGCGGGCTGTGCGGTTACGATGCAGGTGGATTTCGCATTTGTGGCTGGGAGGGCGAATATGGACGTGGCATGAGCCTGTGAGTGGCGCAGGGCCAAAGTTCTGAGCAGGTTTTGGGGGAACATAGGGCTCGAAAACCCATTCCCGCCAGGTGAAATCTGGAGCGAGTCGAGGATCTGGGCGGCCTGGCAAATCTGGAGTTACTGATGCGTCTCGGGTGGACGTCAGGTCCGGAACCCAGGTATGGTGAATGTGTCAGCCCGGAAATTTCAGAGCCACTCAATTGTCTGGACGAACATCGTTCGCGTTACAGACTCGCCTACACAAAACGTAGAGATTGACGACCGATAAGGAGAGAATACTCAGGACAAATGGTACTCATCATAAACAGGGAAACATACAGTAACATGGATAATATAATATCCCTTATGGTGTTTAGTTCCGAGTAGCTCACACTCGAGTATATCTCACAGATTACCAATATCTGCTTGAACAAATCCCCAGATCACCTATCACGTCACATTCAAAGGCTAGCCAACTAGGCTAGTTGCACTGCATAGCCTGAGGCGCGGTATTCCAGACCCTCCCTGATTGCCCTCCGATTCCCTCCATCCCTGCGACTTAGGCGGCAAGAAATGCAGATTCGCGCTATTTCAGTCCTTCGAGACAGTGGTCGTTGCGATGGTCGCGCGTCGCGCGGACTCCACGCTGCTCCGCCTCGCCGCGGCGCTACAGCTTCGCCTGCTGCCGCGCGCGCAGCGACCGTTGCCCTTCCCGCTCATATGTAGTACTGTAGACCCTACCCTCAACCCGCGGGATACTATCTCCGATCCGCTGACCGCTCATCCGTTCCCCTGTCTGCGCGACAATCTTTCCGCTCCGCTTAAAGCCTCTCCGCTATCATGTTATCACGGGAGGCTCTTCAGCAGCAGCGGCGGTGGCGGCGGGAACGGGAGAGACAACAATGGCTGGGGACAAGAACAGCGACAGCAACAGCAGCAGCAGCAGCAGCAGCAGCAGCAGCAGCAGCAGCAGCAGCAGCAGCAGCAACAAGAGCAGCAGCGGGAGCAGGAGCGCGAGGCGCAAGGGCAAGCACGAGAGTGGACTTTGAAAGACGCGCTGCGGCAGCTTTACAAGCGAGTGCATCCCGACACGCTCCATAACCACCCGCACGAACGAGTGAGCGTGCCTGTGTATCATTGCACCCACGCCACGTGGCGGTGTTTACCGCTGCGCATTCCGCCTCTCCCTTTCACGCCTGCTGCTGCTGGTGCTGCTGGTGCTGCCATCCTTGTTTGCTGCCACGCCTGCTGTTGCGGCCACCATCTCAAGCAACCGCTCCCCTTTTCCCCCCTCCTCCCCTCGTCCCCCTTTCGCCTCTGCCCCACCGCAGGCAGCCAATGAGCGGTCGTTTCAGCAGCAGGCGTGGCAGCGGCGCACATCACTGTTAAGGCGTCTCAACGGTTCTGTTCCCTCCCTCTTCCCTCCCTTCCCGCTCCCTCCCCCCACCTCAGGCAGCCAACGAGCGGTCGTTCCAGCTGCTGCAGGAGTACCTAGCAGCGGCGCACATCACAGGAGCAGGCAGCAGGGCCAGTGGCATGGGTGCCGCAGCAACAGCAGCAGCATCGGGGTCGCGCCGGTCCTATGAATTCGAGTTCTTTATTCGGGAAGAAATCAGCAGCAGCAGCAGCAGCAGCAGCAGCAGCAGCAGCAGCAGCAGCACCAGTAGCAGCGCTAGCAGCAGCACTAGCAGCAGCGGCACGGTCTTATTCCGCCACGTCACCATGGCCCTTCCTCCCCCACAGCGGCCGCGTGTGGTGGGGGGGTCCATCCCTCTGCGCACGCGCATGGCTCTCTCGCAACTCCTAGACGCCTGCGGCCTTCCCCCCCACCTCTCCAACGCCCTCGCCTCTGCCACTGCTGGATTTGCTCCTGCTGGTGCTGGTGCTTCTGGTGGTGGCGGCATGGGTGGGGAGGGTGTGAGGCTGTCTGAGTTGCTTGTAGAAGCGGCTGAGATTCAGAGGCAGTGCGAGGCTGGGTGGACGGATGGGGCTTGGAACGGTGGCAGCGGCGGCGGTGGGAGCGGCGGTAGCGGCAGCAGCAGCGCGAGCAGCTTGGTTCGCGATCGGGCGATGATGGTGCATGTGCTGCGAATGGTGCGAGGGGTCACTGTTCACTTTCAACCACCACCATCCCTATCATCATCATCATCATCACCAGCAGCAGCAGCAGGATCAGGTTCCGTCTCTATATCCTCCCTGTCCTCCTCAGACCCCCACCCCCACCCCCAGCAGCAGCAGCAGCAGCAGCAGCAGCAAGAGGTGCTGTTGCTAGAGCAGCTGATCAAGGCTCTCGATCGCAATCCAGACACAGACCTGTCGGGGAGCCAAGTCGTGATAGGCAGCGGCGGTGGCGGGTATGGTATCGACTCCCAAGGCCGTGTGTGGCTGCCTCAGGGTGACGATCTGAGCGCATGGGGGGACTGGCTAGCCGGGGTAGACACGAGCGTGGTGCTAAGGAGGCGGGCACGAGCGCGGGAACGGCGTGCAAAGGAGAGGGCGGCTGCGCGTGGGATGGAGGTTGAGATGGTGTTTACTGACGCGGGAACGGCGGGGTTGCTGGTGTATGAGGGGTTTTTGGAGCGTGTGATTGGGCATGCGGAGGAGCATGGTGCTGTGTGCGACGGCCGGCTTTTCGAGCTGCCCGTTCGCGTTCTCGGGCAGGCAGTGGGCCGGATTGGTGGAGGGGGAGGAGGAGGGGGGGAGGGAGGAGGAGGAGAGGGAGGAGGAGGCGGAGATTGGCTGGTGGATGGAGGGCGGTTACCTACCTGGAGCGGAGACCGGTTTCTGCATCAGCATCAGACCTTCTCATCTTCTTTCACCTCTTCCTCCTCATCCTCCTCCTCCAGTGCCAGTGCTGCTCTCCGCCCTGGGGATTTCACCATCGACCGCCGCTTCGGCTATGCAGCAGTGCCGGTCACAGCAACACCCACGCAGGTTTACACCTTCCTCTCCCAGGCAGGAGGAGACGCCATGGCTATCCGACGGCTAGCGAGAGACGAGGAGCAGAGGCTGGAGCGGCTGAGAACGGACGTGCGGCAGCGGCTGCGGCTGCGGCGGCTGGTGGTGGATGAGGGGAGGATCACGAGGGATCAGGGAGCCTCGGGGCTGCTGCGGCTGCTCCGGTTTGCTCCGCAGCTGGTGCAGCTCACGGAAGGGCTGTCTCTGTGCGTGTCTGACGCCCACCGCCTGCCCATGCCACAGGAAGTTTATGATGAGTGGGATTTGTCACCGTTGGGGCTGGGTGGTGCCGGTAGTAGGGCTGGTAGGGGGAATAGGGCGAGTGGGGGTGGTGGTGCCGGTGGTGGTGTTGCTGGTGCGGGTGCGGGTGGGTCTGCGGGTGTGAGGAGGGGTGGGAGCGGGGGGGAGCAGGAGTGGGAGAGTGGCAGCGTTCCGTTTGTGCACGTGAAATGGAACTTCAGTGTTAGTGAGCTGTAAGTGTGGAGGGAGGGATGGGGTTCTGATTCTGATTCTGATTCTGATTCTGATTCTGATTCTGATTCTGAACATTGGATGCGTCTCAAAGAGACAGACAGACACACAACGTTTATAATATACCGGTACCAAATGGGACGTCTCAAAACTCTTTCCGTTTGTGCACGTGAAACGGAGCTTCCGTGTTAGCGAGCTGTAGCTTGTGTGTCATGGGGGTGGGGGTTGGGGTGGGGGTGGGGGTGGGGGTGGGGGTGGGGGTGGGGGTGGGGGTGGGGTGGGGGTTGAGGTGTGGGTGACGGTGTGGGGGGTGGGGTGGGTATTGCTTTGCAGGGTCGTGGGATGATCGCATGGGGGAGAGGGCACGAGAGGGGGAAGGGATCTGGGTTGCCAGGGAGCAAAGGAAGCTAGTATGGGATACCAGCAAGTATGGTCAGGCTGGTTGCTTAAAATGATTGCAAAGTTGCGATGCAAACGGAACTGAATGCAAGGCGCTGGGGTAGTTGTTCTACGAGGATGCTGGAATGATGGTCATAGTACCGTAACTGGGTCGGGTCAGGTTGTGTTATTGGGTTTTGTTCGGATAGGGTTGGGCTGGGATGGGTTGGGTTGGGTTAGTTGGACTGGATTGCGTTCGGGTGGGGGTAAGTGGCAGGAGAAAGGGAAAGCTTAGGATTTGATAAGTCCTATGTGGTGTCCTAAGTTTAACGTTAAAGTATTCACTGTACAATAGATAACCAGACCAGAGCATTCAGGTATATACAAAGGTAAATCAATAGGTTACCAGTAGGCTGTGCGTATATATATCTGTGTAATCTATCTGATCAAAGGTGTAGATCCAGGTCCAGTGAGCATGCAACAGCACGGTTTCTTCGAGCATGTGCCCAGATGCTCCGATTCGTTTCTCCAAGTCCCCCCATCCACCCATGGACCTGTTATTTTCCACAGCCGGCAGCAGCATCAACAGCAGCAACTACCTCCCTGGAGCACATCATTCTAAGTTCTGTATCACACTCCATGCTCCCTCCACTCTCTCGTCCTGCTACCCTAGCAACATCACCGGCAGCAGCAGCATCAGCATCGTCACCAGCAGCAGCAGCAGCAGCAGCAGCAGCAGCAGCAGCAGCAGCAGCAGCAGCAGCAGCAGCAGCAGCAGCAGCAGCAGCAGCAGCAGCAGCAGCAGCAGCAGCAGCAGCAGCAGCAGCAGCAGCAGCAGCAGCAGCAGCAGCAGCAGCAGCAGCAGCAGCAGCAGCAGCAGCAGCAGCAGCATCAGCATCATCATCATCATCAGCAGCAGCAGCAGCGTCAGCAGCAACAGCAGCAAGAGTGGGAGCAGTGGAGAAAGTGGTCTGCTGCATCGGCTGTGTCTTTGAAGCTAGAGAGGAGCGTTTCTTTCTACCAGTGGAGGCGATGCTGGTAACAGTGCTGCTGGTAACCTTGCTGCTGGCCGTGGTGTAGGTGGGAAGGGATCGCTGTGGGCTGAGCCTGGAGCAGGGCAGCGCAGACTGCGGCATCCGCAGCAGGTGCAAGCTGCAGCCACCGCCACCAGCACCAGCAGCACCAGCACCGGCGGCAGTAGGAGCAGCAGCAGCGGCAGCAGCAGCAGGTAAATCGCCACCAGCACACGTCACTGCTCCCACTGGCGTTGCCGTTGGCTCTGGAAGGGCACATGTGGTTCCCGAGGAGGAGAGAACAGCAGGGAAGGATGACGGAGCAGCAGCAGCATCAGCAGCAGCAGAGGAGGAGGGAGGAGGGGCAGGGGCAGTAGCAGATGCAGGATCCGCGTGGTGAAGCGTGGAGAGCAGCAGGTGAGAGAAGAGCGAGGAGCACTCTGTTGCTCGGGCCTTGTGCTCTGCTGCTCCCCCGCTGGCTCCTGCCTCCTCCGTAGCAGCAGCAGCAGCGTCTGTTGCAGCGTCATGCACAGCAGCAGCTGTTGCTGCTGCTGCTGCAGCAGGAGAAGCATCAGGTGAATCTTCAGGTGCAGCCGAAGCATCAGGGGCATGTTCGGTAGCAGCAACAGGAGTAGCAGTATCCATCATTAGAATGTCATCGGCAGCAGCAGCAGCAGCAGATAGGATGGAGGCGCTGGTGGGAAGAGAAGTCCACCTGCGAAGGGGACTCAAGCCCTGCAGCACATGCGCAGGAATGGCAGCAGGAACAACACCAGCAGGATCGGCACCAGCAGGATCAACATCAGGAACGGCAGCTGGAAAAGGAGGAGGAGACTCAGACCCAGACCCAATGCTTGCCGCCATAGCAGCAGCTGCCAGCTCCCCTAGAAGTGAGTGCTGCCGCCTCCGCCTCGACTTTTTGCTGAGGCGCAAGGGGCCGTCGTTGACAGCAGGAGCAACAGCAGCAGTAGCAGCAGTGGTACCAGCAATGGCAGCAGCAGCAGCAGCAGCAGCAATACCCTCCTTTCCGCTGGCTGCAGCGGAAGAAGAGGGAGAAAAGCAGGAAGCAAGGTCCGTTCCGCAGGAGCCACGCTGCTTCTTCGCGGGAGACAGCAATGCCTGGGGCAGCATCGCGCTGTCGTCCCCCTCCTTGCCCGCCCGTCCCGCCCACATGGCCGCTTGCAGCGAGTCGGGCGGCAGACTGAGCGTGCGCCGCGAAGCGAGCAGGTCGCTAGGCAGCGTGAGGGGCGGAGGGGCAGGGACCGTATTGCGGGTACCGGCACCATGAGGGTGATTAGGAGGAGAAGCCATGGCCGGTGCCATCTGTGTCATCTCTGGCATCTGTGCCATCTTTGGTATCTTCCCCAGATGGGCCATTTGTGCCAGTTGCGCCAGTTGAGCCATTTGAGCCATCTCCAAAAGTTCTGCCGTCAAGCTCGTTCGCCCAGCAGGCAGCGATGACCATCGCTGCAGCCCCCCGCTGCCGCCGCCACCTCCCCCCCCGCCTCCGCCACTGGCCCCGTCGCCTCTGCCCACACAGCCCCCACGGGAGGCACCGGTGCGGCCCAGGGTTTGAAACACCATGTGGCGCGGCAAGCCTGTGAGGTGATGATACGCACTGGCCTTGGCTGCTGAACCTGACAGGGATGGTTGTTGCGGCATCAGCAGCACCTGCGCCTGCTCCGCCGTTGTATCGGCTCCTTGGCCAGTTGTAGCAGCGGTAGTAGTAGTGGCAGCAGCAGCAGCAGCAGCAGCAGCAGCAGCCGCAGCAGTTGTAGCAGGCTGTAGCGGAAACGCCCTCAAAGCGTGCTCCTTCAAAGAGAGCTCCTCCCCGGCCTCTCCTGCGCTGGGCCGGCCGCGTTGCTCTCGCTGTCGTTCCCCCTCGCGCTGCAGTCGTGCCAGCAGGTCTCGCTCGGCCTGCCTCGCCATTCGCAGCTTTATCATCCGCCGCCGCTGCTGCTGCTGCTGCTGCTGCTGCTGCTGCTGCGCAGCCTGTCCCGCCGTGAGAGCCGCCGCCGCCGCCGCCCCCGCTGCCGTGGCCGTCGCCGCCACAGTCGCTGACGTTGCCGGGGATGGGGATGGCGACGCGACGAACTGGCCGCCTCCTCCGTTTCGCAGCCATGGAGCGGTCGTTAGCTTCTCCCAGCAGGGAGCTGATGCCACGGCGGCAGCAGCAGCAGCCACGTCAGCCGACGAGCACATCCTACCAGCGGCCGCCAAGTGGCTCAATCCGTGATAATGACTCATTATCACGTGATGCCGACTCGGGCTTCCCCCCGCCATCGCTGCTGCCGCCGCCGCGGAGGCAGCGCCACCTATTTGCGTCGACAACGAACCGCCGGCCGCGCCGCCGCTTTGAGAACGGCTCGGCGCGCTGCTCCCGCTAGCTCCGCTGCTGTGGACCGGTTTTGCCGCGGCGACCCCGCCGCCGGTGCCGCCGCATCCAACGGCGCCTCGGGGAGCGGTATGGTTGTAAGGAGGGTATTCGAGACTCTGATTTAACTCCGCAACAACCTCGTCCAAGCCTTTCCGCTTCTGGTCATTTTTGGAATGTTCGGAGACTGCCAGCCGCGAGAATCCCGGCGTTGGCGCAGCGGAGGCGACAGCGGCGGCGAGAAGGACGCCGCGACGGGCGCCGGCGGACGCGGCGGACGGTTTCCCGCAACCGTCGTCGCTGTTGCCGCTGCCGCTGCTTCTCCTGCTGTCGGAAGAGCTAGAAGACGTCGCGCCGCCGTCAATGTTGGGGCGGCGCGGCAGCATGGAATGATGGTGACGCGGCGGCGGTGATTGGAATAGTATGTCTCCGGGGCTTGAAGGCGACACGTTCACATCGTTGTCACCACCGGCGCTGCGCGCGGCGTCGTCTTGAAAGGCGGCTTCTAGCTGCGTGATCCATGGAGGTAGCCGACTCGAAGTTGCCGCCGCCGCGGCGCCAGGCACGCCTCTCGCGGGTGATAACTTCAAGTTCGCGAATGCTGCTGGCGGAAGAAACGCGGGTGGCGGGCAACCACCGACGGTGCTGGCGATCGCGCTTGCGATGATGAAATCGCGCGGCGGGTGTGGCAGAGGAAGGCATGATGCGGCGTCTGGTTGCGTGTGCGATGCGAGAGCTAAGGCCTGGAGGTGAGGCGGATAGTGACTTAAACGGTGCTGGTGCTGAGAGTGGAGCGATCGGCGTGCGGCGAGGAATGGGTGTGATGCTGGTTTCGATACGAGAGAGTCTGATGCTCTTGACTTGGCCATGTTCTTTTAGGTGGTGTAAGATAGGAGTAGGTTGAAACGCTTGAGTTCAAAGGCTGGTTGCCGGAATTTTGTTAGTAACAAAAGGACTGCTCTAATTCTTGCTCAGAGGTCAGGAGGAACACTAGATACCTGCATTGGACGTTCGACATGGAAGGCTGGAGCAAGAGGCTAATTTTCTGGTTGTTTCATTTCGTCCACCGTCTTGCTTTCAGGCGTCGAGGTTGTTTCTGACAGAATTGCGGCTCGATGCAATTGCATATGCGCAGACGCGCAGTACAGTATTGAATAGTGTAGGAAGACTGCTGGAAGGTGAGATAGTGCCTGGTGTACACGTGTACACGACAGAAACCAGCGTTTCTGGCGACAGGTCAGGCAGGAGGAGTCCACAGAAGATGGTTGGTTGTTAGCGCTGCCGAACTGATTACATCACGTGACCGGTCACAAAAAAAGGGGCAATTCTGTGCAGCGGGTGTGTGATGTGATGTGGGCGATTTTGGGGGTCAGGTGGATGGCTTGTACGGTACTGCGATTTTTTTTCCCGTTCTGGTAATCTCGGTTGGGGAATGATAGCATAGTACACATTTAGCATTAAAGCCAGGATCTCAAGTAAGAGAATTGGCCTTCAATTGCAAAACACTTGCAGCGCTTGTTACCCTATTTTTGTAGGCGAATTGACTGGCTGGTTAGGAAAGTGAGCGTGCGGCACACCCACGATTTTGCCCCTAGAGCAAATGCAAAACATTTTGCTGGTACATGAGATTGTTGTGTGTGACGAGAAATTGCGGGCATTGGAGCTTCGTCACCGAACCAGTTTCCGAGCCTTGCTTGGTTCGGACTGAACTTGCGATTTGTCTTTACTTCGCACCCCTCGCTTCACACCTCGTCAGATTGTTCACCTCGCTAACCAATCGCAGCCCAGCTCCCCTCACCAACTGCAAAACAATTGAACTACTTGAGATCCTGGCTTGCCTTGTACATCCGTAGGAAATGTGATCAATAGTCTCTTCCGATACACACTAACGTATGAGAAATTGGAGTGGCGGCAATCGACTAACTTTTTATGCGGAAGGACCAATGACGGGTTAATGTTACGACGTGTTACGACCCGCACGGATTGGGTCTGGTCGGGTCGACCTGGTCGACCAGACCCAACCCGACCAGACCCTCCGAAACGCGATTCGGGAAATTCGAAATTTTATAAGTTATTTCCCTTACATCTTCGAGGGTCATGCGAAGCAGTTGCTACGCGAGGGGATGGTGGTCTGGGCGACCTGTGGCGAGCTATGGCAAGATTTGCGCGAGTTTACCTGGTATCTTCTCGGGCGGCGAAATCAGGGCGATTTCTGCGCGAGAGATGTAATTTTCGTAGGCTCAGGTAACCTGCTTCAACTCGGTTGGGTTGGGTCTGGTCGACCTGGTCGACCCGACCAGGTCGACCCGGGTCTGGCAGACCCGACCCGACCCGATTGGGTCGACCTGGTCGGCTAGACCCGCGACGCAGCCTTCCTAGAAATGAGGGGTCGGGGGCCGGTCGACCCGACCCATGTGGGTCGCAACACGTCGTAACATTAAAACACTGTACTGTACAGTGATTTTTCTCTTGTGCCTTCCCTCCCAGTCCCTAAAAGTCCTTTTTACGAGGACCTTTCACCGTGCGTGACCCGACCCGACCAGACCTGAATCCCGCCCGAACCGATACGAACCTTCCACCTTCATGGTCAGGTTTTGTAAGTCGGTGCCTCTGGGAAGACGTCATCACATCAAATCAATGTGCCGACGCGTGGACCTCGAACTGAATCATTGAAATGGTCACGCACGCGCCAGCTGGACACCACGAGAGGAACCGGGGCTATCCTTGAACAGACCGACAGAAGTACACGGGGCCAACATCACAGACATGCAAAATAGTATGGTAACCCTATTCGATTGTAATATCACGTCGATACCTCGGTTTCGGAGTTATTGAAATATTGCCCTAGAATTGTGGTTCTATGTACTTCAGAATCAGATTTCTACCACGCTTTGTTGTCCTATAAAACTCGCTTTATTCGGGCGACTGTTCTGCCATATGAGCAGCACTGTTCGCTACACCTGCAGAAAAAATAAAACCCAATCGGAAAGGGATGCGACTCGGGAGGCATCAACCCTAAAAACAATGCCCTTTCCCGTGTTTAGGGTTGATCCTTCCCTGAAATGAGTCCCGGTCCCTAGGGGTTTTATTTTTTTCTTGCCTGCCCTAACAGCACCCGGTAGCAATATATATTACTTTCATTCCAACGAATTTTCCGGTCGAAATTATCGTGCACATTCAACGGAAACTTGTTGCCCGCAAGAATCGTTATCAGGCGCCAAACAAGGCGCGGTAAGAATAAAATGAAAATAAATTGAAAGCGTATTCGATTGTTGCACGTATTGCTTTCTTTTTGTGCTGCGTCAGCTGTTACACAGTGTTTTGAGTGGCGGTACCAGACAGATTTGCGCAGTGGAACTGGGGTATCGACGGTTTTGCATACAATCGAATAGGGTTACAGACTGTTTTGCATGCCTGTGATGTTGGCCCAAGTACACGTACTGCCGTTCTGTACTCAATAGACCTGATCACGAGGGCATGAGTGGTTGATGTGTGAATTTATGGGGGCAGAATGAGCTGTACACCTTGTTTCTCGATGTTTGAACAATCGGGAGCCCCGGCTACAGTGCGCACGTGTGCTTGGATTCAGCGGGCTGGTGCTTGCAACCGAAATGCACTTCCGGAGAACGGTAGACAGCGGTTTATGATAAAAAACGTGCTTTTGAGTTCGGTTTTGTGCGGCAAAAGTGCTTATACGGTATGTTCTGGGACCAATTTGGACGCATTGATGTCAGTAAAACTGGCTTGTCAATATGGCGAATGTCAGTGTGGCGCGAAACAGGGTGTACATATACTAGGAGCAATGGCAAATCAGGGGGTGATCAGATCTGACTGTTGAAGCGTGATGGAAGTTACAGTAAAGAGAACGTTTTGCTACAATGGTGCAGCTGGAATTGCAGAAGGGCGTGTACACGTACGCACAAACACAAGCACCTTTGCGGTATTGCAGCCGTTTTCCTACCAGTGAAGAAAACCCGCGGCCGATTCACATTCATTCAAGCCGCGTCGGACACTTCCACCGCAACACTTGTGGCAGCAGCTCACGGACATGTCAGAGGATGGTGTGTACCCACTGGTTTCGAGCTGGTGTAAAGTTTGAGAAGGAGCGTGATTTCAAGGGTTTGCCACGACTTCCGCTCACCGACGTGGTTTGGGTACGGTACGGTGGGGTGCTAACGCTGTGCAGCACCTGAGGCCAACGAACAACCAGTGGTTCTTGGCTTGACCCGTATGGCCTGTTAACAGTGTGCACCCTTTTCTCGTTACGACCAAACGACGTACACGCTTTGTCAAGTTGCCCTCTTTAAGCCATCTCATCAGGCACAGTTCAGTCATTTTGCAGCAAAATGTTAAATGGGGCCATTTGAGTAATAATGGTGAGACAGAGATATCCAAGTCCATTCCATGGTTCCGTGGTCCACTCGCCCAGCCTGAAGCAACAGTTTGCCTTACACTCGCCTCAAAGCTATACTTCACATATCATCTCCTCCACCCTCAACACATTCCATGATCCATCCAAAACTATGACGTGTATCGTGAACTGCTGTCCAACCACTTCACACCGAGCCTCCTCCGACCCATGAGGGAAAAAAAAACTCAGTCACACCGCAACTTACGATGAGTGCTAGGCACAAGTCTGCCCTAGCCGCCTACCTACTCACTCTCCTCGCATTTCACCCCCTTGCGCACTCCCATCCCCTTCACGTCCACCACCCCCACCTCATCATACCATCCACTCCCTAACACAATCTCCCCACCTGAAATACCCGCTGGACCCCACCGCCTTTTCTCTGTTCATGTTGCCGCCGGTAACCTTTTCCCGCGCCCCATGGCAAACCCCTTAGTTCCATCCGGCATGCGGGGCCCCGGAGGGAGGCGCATGAGCAGCGACGAGCCTTCCCCCGAACCTCCGCTTCCGCACCCAAGAATCCCACCGCCTCCCGCACCTCCCAACGGGCTACCATGCAAGAGAAACGAAGAGGACGGCAAGCTACCGCCTTTCGGGGGGGTTCCTCCGCCGTGCAGGTGATGGTGGTGGTGGTGCTGCGAGTGCTGGTGGGGATGCAAGTGGCTGTGATGGTGACTCCCGCTCCCGCTGCCGCTGCTGCCGATGCGCGAGCGTGGCGGGGTGTTGTTCGGCGAGTGCTGGTGGTGCTGGTGGTGGCTGTTGCTGCCGTGGTGGTTGTGCGCGCTGCCGAAGCTGCTGCCGCTGCCGTCGCGCCCGGGCGTGCGGGAGAGAGAGGAACCTTGGTTGTGGGACGAGCCAGAGCCCCCTGATAGCTTGCTCCCTGATCCCTTGTTTCGACCCTTGATGGCCCGGCCTTTGCGTGGACTGCTGCTGCTCGTCTCGCTGTCGGGCTGGAGAGGGAAGTGAGCGGCAAGTGACGGCGAGAGGGGCAGGAGGAGCGTGTGAGTGAGAGAGTGAGGGGGGTAGGGAGAGGAGCGAAGGATAGAAGGGGAATAGGAGGGAGTGGCTGTGAAAGATGGACTGATGGAGGGAGGGAGTGAGAGAATGAGTGCAGGAGTGTGCAAGGATTGGAGCGACAGAGGGTGCAAGGGGGGAAACAGAGATGGACGGGGAAACAAGAGAGTGGGGGGTGGGGGGGAGAATATATGTTGGGAGAGAGTGAGGGTGGGAGCGAGGGAGAAAGTGAGGGGAGCGAGGGCATACCATGGAAAGGACGCCATCACCAGGGGGAGAGAGTGCCGGCATGTTACCACCCCTTCTGCCACCACCACCACCAGCACCTGCAGCACCAGCAGCGACGGCCACGGCGGCGGCGGCGGTGGGTGAAGCATCATGAGTGCTACTCGCATCCCCGTCATTCTCTCCATCATCTAATGCCAATAATCCCTCACTGGCCGCAACGCCATCTAGAAGATTCTCCTCCGCTGATGAATCAACAACCCCTCCTGCTCCTCCTCCCCCTCCTCCCTTCGCTGCCGCTGCTGCTCCTCCTGCTGCTCCTGTGCCTGCAGCAGCAGAAAGGCTGCCGCTGCTGCTGTGGTTGCTGTGAAGGCTGCTTTGACTGCCCTTCTTGTTCTTCCCTGCGTGTGCCTGCTGACCCTGATGCTGCTGGTGTGAATGCTGGTGCGGATGCTGGTGGTGCTGATGTTGGTGCTGCTTCTGTAGAATGCGATGTGAAAGTGACAGTGGAAGTGAGAACGGCAGTGAGCGTGGGAGTAAGATGGAGAGGGAGTTGGGGATGGACAAAGGAAGATGAATGATGATAACATAACTATCATTGGAAAAAGAGAGTCAAAGAACACCATTTAGTGAGATGAGGGAGCAAGGGGAGAAAATAACTGGTGGCATGGTATGGCATGAAGAGCCCAAAATAAACATGCCATGGCATTGCATGGTACAGCAAAGCAAGCCGCCGCCGCCGCCGCCACGCTACTACCTACTTGTTCAAGTGCTGGTACACGCACATGTGCTGCTGCTGCGTGCTGTGCTGGTATCCATGCTGCAACGCAACGTACATGAGCTGGTTTGTAACAGGCGCATGTGCCGGCAGCAGAGCATGTGCAAATGTGCTCTCTCTCTCTCTCTCTCTCTCTCTCTCTCTCTCTCTCTCTCTCTCTCTCTCTCTCTCTCTCACACACACACACACACACACACACACACACACACACACACACATGCACCACCACTACGTACATGTGCGGGTTTGCGGATGAGCAGGCGCACGTGCAGGCCACTGCGCCAGTTGTTCTCGTCTGTCAGCATCTCAACTGCCCTCTCCGCCTCCTCCACACTCTCATACTCCACCAACGCATGCAGCTGCCAGGGGGATTAATCGTGAGATGGGGTATGGCAGCACAGTGGGATGCAGTGAGATGCAGTACAGTGCAGTGAGACCTTGTCCTCTCCGCCTCCTCCACACTCTCATGCTCCACCAACGCATGCAGCTGGTGGTGGGACGGGTGGCGGCACAGTGGGGTTGGGATGCAATAAGATGAAATAAGAGTAACTCAGGGGCGGTGAGACCTTGTAATCTCTGCCTCCTCCACACTCGCATGCTCCACCAAAGCATGCAGCTGATGGTGGGACGGGGCATAGGAGCAAGATGGGATATGCGGGGTGGAACCAGATGCAGTCAATATCAGGTGCAGTGCGGTGAGATGAAATCGAATCAAGACCCACCCTTCCAGAGCCCCACCTTGTTAGTGACAACAAGGTCGTGGTGGTGCGCATGCTGCTTGTGCCCGTGCCTCCCGCTGTTGCCCCCACCAGCCCCCGCTCCTGCCCCCGCAGCTGCTGCAGCTATCGCCGCCTGGTTGGCGCTGTTGGCCGCTTCGGGCTTGCACACTCGCACCATCTTCACTCTGCATGGGTTGAGATAGAAGGCAGGGAGAACAAGCAGAGGGGAGGTGAGTGCAGGGGGAAGGGGCAGAAGGAGGGGTGTGACCCACCCGCTTGACTGATACTGTTGGCTGCTTCGGGCTTGCACACTCGCACCATCTTCACTCTGCATGGGTTGAGTTGAGGCAGAAGGGTGGGGGAACAAACAGTGAGCAGGGGGGCGGGGTTGAGTGCAGGGGGGAGAAGGGGGTTCAGCTGCTGCAGCTATCGCCGCCTGGTTGGCGCTGTTGGCCGCTTCGGGCTTGCACACTCGCACCATCTTCACTCTGCATGGGTTGAGAGGGAAGGCAGGGTGGAATCGTGGTGAGATCGAAAGCAGGGAAGGAGGAAAGTGACAAGAGAGCAGAAACATACAGGGAAGGACAACCATACAGGGAAGAAAATCCACCACACCCGCCCACCCACCGAAAAACAAGTCACAGCAAAACGCAGTGTACGTAAAACCCTTGCAGGCAGACCTTCCTGCACAGCATGCTTCTGTATGTGCCTCGCAGCGCAGCGTACCACACCACACCACACCCAACCATAACCGCACTGCACCGCAGTGCAGCGCACAGCACTCACTTTCCCGCCTTGGCAAAGAGAGCCTCCATGGCTGGGATGGAATGGTCTTCTGGTAGGTTCTCCGCCACCACTGTGCGCGCCTGGTGGCGGGGGGGGGGGGAGGGGGGGTGGGGGAGGGGAGAGGGAGGAGCGAGGGAGTTTTGGGACGTCTCAAAGCTTGTTCTGGCAACGAGAGCCTCCATGGCTGGGATGGAATGGTCTTCTGGTAGGTTCTCCGCCACCACTGTGCGCGCCTGGTGGCGGGGGAGAGGGGGAGGGAGGAAGAGGGGAAGTGAGGGAGGGAGGAGTGCGAGAGGGGTTTTTGAGGCGCCTCGAAAATCGCTGAAAACGCGAGGAGGGGGAGGGAGGAGCGAGAAACAGAAGGGAGAAATATTGTCCCTTGGTTAGGTTCTTTGGACTAGTTTGTTACTCGATTTTCGAATGAATTAGTCCTTTGGTGCAGGGATGAAAAGACTTGCAGGGTCGGAGGGAGGGCGGGAGGGGAGGAGGGAGGGCGGGAGGGGAGGAGGGAGGGCGGGAGGGGAGGAGGGAGGGCGGGAGGGGAGGAGGGAGGGCGGGAGGGGAGGAGGGAGGGCGGGAGGGGAGGAGGGAGGGCGGGAGGGGAGGAGGGAGGGCGGGAGGGGAGGAGCGAGGGAGGAAGGGAGGGCGGGCGGGAGGGTGGAGAAATTTTATAGTGTGTGTGTGTAATTGCATGGGAGTGGACTGGCCCTTTCGGGGTTGCGTAGCCATCCCCACATGACTGTGACGCACATGAGAGCGCACGTGCAGGGATGGAGGAGCAGGGAAGGGCAGGGAGGAGCAGGGAGGAGCAGAGAAGGGCAGGGAGGAGCAGGGAGGAGCAGGGAGGAGCAGGGAAGGGCAGGGAGGAGCAGGGAAGGGCAGGGAGGAGCAGGGAAGGGCAGGGAGGAGCAGGGAAGGGTATGGAGGAGCAGGGAGGAGTATGACAGTGAGTATGGAGGAGTGAATAGGGCAATTGAAGGAGTATGGAAGCGTCTGCAGGGGTGTGTAGGGGATGTGAAGTTTCTTGGTTCTGCTGCTGGCTTCCCCGATTCCCCATCGTTCCATTCACTTGCCCCACTACCGCTCATCCACCCTCACTTAGGCACGGAACCACACATGTTCTCCCAAGCTCCCCCCCCCCCCCCTCCCCCGGCCCCTTTCCTCCCTACCTTTCCTCCCTTCCTTCCCCACCCAACTCCCCCTTCCTGTTACGATCTCGCCCAGGCGCACCTCCTCCAGATCCACCTCCCCCAGTAAACTCCATTTTACTCTCCCCACTTCTCACTTCGTTCCCCCCTCGTCCCCCCAGCTTTCCCCATCCCTCCGCGCCCGCGCTCACCTGCACCTCCTCCAGATCCACCTCCCCCAGCGCCACCGCCCGCCGCACCTTCTTGCCATCCTCCCCCACCACCTGCGCGCGCAGCACACACACAGCGCGGATTGCACGGGCAGATGGGCGGGGTGGGTGAAGGGCGGAAGGAAAGGGGGCGGAAAGGGGGACGAAATGGGGGAGTAAGAAGGGGAAGGAAGGGGCGGAAGGGAAGGGGGGAAGGGAGGGAGTGGGAGTGGGGAAAGGGAACTAGGGGAGAGGAATAGACAGCGGAGTTAAGCACGTGTGTGATGACATTAGTCCGGTTTAAGAGAGAATAGTGAACGATTGTAGAAAGGAACGGCGAGGGGCGGCACAGGACGGCAGAGGACGGCGAGGGCGGTATGGGGATGGCAGAGGGAGGGGCAGAGAGAGGGGGAAGTGGGGGAGCAGAGCACGGACGAGGAAGGGCGAGGCTCTGAGGGCGGCGGCGAGCAGGTTGACGACCGCCACGTTGGGCGAGCCCTGGGGCACAAGCGCACGGATCTTGCGGAACTCCGCTATGATCTTCAGCGGCACTGGCGGAGGGGGGGACGGGGAAGGGGGGAGATCGGGGGGATGGGGGGAATGTAGGGGGAGATCGGAGGGATAATGGGGAAGGGGGAAGGGAGATAGGGGTAAGGGGGGAGGCGGAAGGAGGAAAGGGGACGGGGAAAAGGGGGAAGGGGGAAGGGGGGAGAAGGGAGTGGGGAATGGGGAAGGGAGCGGAGGAAGATGCTGTGGCAGCAGCGACAAGAGAAGGAAGCGGGGTATGGTGGCCGAAGGAAGTGAAAGCAGCGCCAGACGCAAGAGTCAGAGGCACAAACAGAGAAGCTAGAACCGCGAGACAGAGCGGGAGCAGAAGGAGCTGCTGGTTCAAGCAAAGAAGACGACGAGAAGAGGAAGAAGATGCAGTGGCAGCAGGCTAGGAGGAAGAACGAACTGACCGTATCCGTCAGGGTCCTTGCGCACGAGCTTCATGAGATGGTTTGCAGAAGCACCGTATTTTTTACACAATGGACTCTCATTAACTGGTGTTCAATCGGAACAACTGACCGTATCCGTCAGGGTCCTTGCGCACGAGCTTCATAAGATGGTTGTCCGTGGGAAGGTTCTGGTCGCTCAGGTAAAACTCCACCTGGTGAACAGCAGCGGACGCACGGAGAGGGGGGGCGGGCGCGGAGGGGGGACGAGGAGACGCACGAGCTTCATGAGACGGTTGTCCGTGGGAAGGTTCTGGTCGCTCAGGTAAAACTCCACCTGTCGCCATGTGCCCCGGCACGAGGGGAAGCGGGAGGAGGCGCGGACGGACGAGGAGGGGGAACGTAAGGGGAGGGTGGACGGAACAAGGGAGGGACAGACGAGGAGGAGAGAATGACGGGCTCAGGCGAGCAGGGGGAGGGATCTAGTAGGCCCATGAGGTGACTTTTGAGTCGACTCAAAAGACAGACGAGGAGGCGAGAATGACGGGCTCAGGCGAGCAGGGGGAGGGATCTAGTAGGCCCATGGCCTGCTGATGCCGTGCACTGTTGCTTGAGCTGGGAGCAGGGATCGGATCTGTCGCGACGGCAGACATAGAAAGATACCAGGGCGGCAGGGAGGAGGGGAAGGAGAAGCGCAAGGCAATGAATGGGTATACCGCATAATCCGCCAAACCCCCCGGTTCTCCTCACCTACACACATACACCATCGTCACCGGGCCCCCCTGCATCCCTTCCCTGACCGTGACAACCCCGTTCACGCCCCTCTTTTTGAGGCGCCTAGACAACGACTTCACCGGCACACCCTGCATTCCTTCCCTGACCGTGACAACCCCGTTCACGCCCCTCTTTTTGAGGCGCCTAGACAACGACTTCACCGGCACACCCTGCATTCCTTCCCTGACCGTGACAACCCCGTTCTTTTTGAGGCGCCTAGGCAATAGACTTAAACAGCTCCCCCTGCATCCCTACCCTGAACTTGAGAACCCGTCCACGCCCCTCTTCACAGCCCCGCCCCCTCCCAACTGCCAACCCCCTTGATCCCAACGGCTGTGTTTCAAGTGTTGGAACGGACCTGTTGCACCTGCCCCAGCGCGCATCTGCCTCAGAGCGCACCTGCCCCAGCGCGCACCTGCCCCAGCGCGCACCTGCCCCAGCGCGCACCTGCCCCAGCCCGCACCTGCCCCAGCCCGCACCTGCCCCAGCCCGCACCTGCCCCAGCACGCACCTGTCGCACCATCTTCTCTTTCACCTCCTCCAGCTCCTTCCCCGCTAGCTGCACACTCGGCTCCTTCCCCTGCTTTCCCCCCTTCGCCTTCCCATGCGCCGCCGCCGCTCCCTGCTGCCCCCCCTTCCCCTGACCCGCCCCGTGCCCGTGTGCGTGCGCCTGCGCGCCGGTGTGCCCGGCCTGCGGGTGTTTATGCTGTGGCTGCTGCTGCTGCTGCTGGTGGTGGTGGTGTGGGTGGTGGTGGTGGTGATGGTGATGATGATGGTCTACCTTCACCCAGTCCTTATCATCATCAGCTTCTTGCGATTCCGTTCCTTGCGCTTCCGCTGCTTGCGATTTCGCAGCTTGCGCTTCCGCTGTTTCACTACCCCCACCTTCTCTCTTTTCACCCACTCCCTCTCCCCCTTCGCTCTTCCCTCCTCTCGCACTCTCCCCCTCACTCTCTGTCACCTTCCCTTGGTCTGTCAATGCCTCTCCCTCGCACCCCACATTCTCACTCCTCTCCGCACTCACGCTCGCACCTCCACCTCCCGCTTCCATTTCCGCTTTCGCTTCCGCTCCATCGGAGCCCCCCGCTCCCACCGCGCCATTGCCGGAATGCGCCGCACTCTCAACATCCCCCGCCCCCGCCGCTTCCGCCGCGCTAGGAGCAGCAGCCGCGACGCCGTTCGTCCCAGCCGCAACTACCTCGTGAGGAAGCTCGTTCCCGGCTGCCTCCGCGGGTTCTACGGCCGGCAGCGGCATCTGGGCCGGCATTTGCGCCGGCATCTGCGGCACCATCTGCGGCGAGCCGCTCTGCATCACCACGGCGCCCTCGCGCTCTGCCGCCGCCATCATTCCTGCCGGCGGCATCCCCATAGGAACACCCATCCCCATCCCCATCACCATCCCCATCCCCACCCCTCCCCCATGATGCGGTCCCCCCATCATTCCCCCCATGTGCGCGTGCGCGTGCGCGTGCGGATGCCCGCCGTGCCCGTGCGCGTGTCCGTGCGCGTGCCCCCCGTGTCCGCGCGCTTGCCTGCGCGGACCCGCGGCAATCGGCATGAGCGGACTGGCCTCCACCGGTGAGCCGCTGTGCATGTATCCGCCTCCGCCGCCGCCGCCGCCCCCCCCTGGGTGCCCGTACATGCCTTGCGCGCCCATCCCCGGCGGGCCGTACCCCATAGGCGCGGGGAGGCCTTGCCCCATGTGCGGAACATTGAACGGCGGCATAGACGGCGCCATTGACGGCGACATCGATTGCTGCATGGGCATCATCGCCTGATGCGGCGACTGCGCCGGCTGCGGAGGCACCGGGCTTCCCCGGGAAGGCCCCCCTGCGGAGGCGAGCATGGGGCTCGCGACACGTGGCACGAAAACCGCAGCTCCCGCATTGAGGATGCGGCCTGCTGGCGGAGACAGCGACGTGGCGGGAAAGCCGTCGGGCTCGATCCCGATGCCGGCGGGAGCGGCGGGGATGCTCATGGGGAGCGATGCCCCTGGTGTCCCTCCGTTCAGCGACGAATTTGATGGGTCTGGGAGAAGCATGCGATGGCACACGAGAAGGAATGAGTGAAGCGAAAGGAGAGAGTGAGAGATGAGGGATGAACCCGCGTGGAAATGACATGTGTCGTGAAGGGAACGTGATCAGAGGAGGGTAACGCTGCGGCAAAGAGGGGGCGAGGCTGCAAGAAACCTAAAAAAGGGAGGCGAAGGAGATGGATCGACGGGGGAAAACGAATATGGGAAGGAACGGCGACGGCTACGGCGGAGAGTAAGCCATTGCGAGGGCAACACACGGGAACTAGAACTTTCACCCTGTACACTTGGGTTACATCACGATCTCGAGAGTCACTCTTAATTCGAACCTACATTCTGATCCGTGGCTTGTGCTTACCATGGCTGCCTTGTCCCCCGTGGAACGGCGACGAGGACTCGACCTGATCGGCCATCAAATGGGGTTCGCGAAACGGCAGAATGCCGCCACTGTCGGCCCCAAATGCCGGCGATTAGGCGATGCCACTACAACTGCCAGGCGGCTGGAAACACCCTATCAAACACGAGTTGGGAGATGTGTTTGGAAGGGGTTGTGAGTGGGATCTGGTTGTCGTTCTGAGTGGATGCATGGAATCTGGGGCGGTGTGCTCTCTGGAGCTGCTCGTCACGGAGATCCCGAGGGGTTAGGGTTGGGGAGAGCTCTTTATGCGCGCGCAGACGACCACAGGGGGAGATTGACCCTTTCAATCGCCCAGCGCTGGTGTTTGATTTCCACAGGGGCGAGGGGAAGGGGGAGCAGAGGTGCTTGATGGGGGGAGTTTTTGAAGAATGGGGGGAGTACTATATACGGTACAGTACGGTGGGTGCTGGTAGAGAAGTTGAGGGAGAGTGGTGCTGGCGGAGCGGAAGCGTAGAGAGATCCGAAATGGGTCGGTGGTATGGGTGGAATGTGCAAGGTTTGGTGTTGCCGGGTTGACAACCATATGTCTCCCACCCCCCTCCACATGTGACATAGATGGTATGGGAGGGATCAGGGGATGGGATACTGTAGGACGAGCATCATAGATTTCGAGGACTCGGAGGATTCAAAGTAAGCACTCTGGGTCAGAGGGAACAGGTAATGCTTCCAGTAGATCACGTTTCCAGGGCCTGTTCGACTGGCGCATCAGGGTTTTGGCTCGGGTACCAGCGCAGGTTCGTTGGTGGTGCTTGGGTACCAGGTTTGGTTCAGGTGTGGTGCTCGAACGCGAGGAAGTGGTTTGGGGTTTGTCAAATTGGTTCTATTGGTCTGTCAAGTTTGTCAAACACGGTAGGTGCGACTTTTACAGAGCGGGCACCTTATTCTGCCCACACCAGCTGGTGCTGCCCCGCATCAGCTGGTGCGCGCAGGTGTGGGTCATGTTAGTCAAACTCGGGGGGTGTTCAACTTGGCGGGCACCTTATTCTGCCCCACACCAGCTGGTGCTGCCCCGCATCAGCTGGTGCGCGCATGGTGCTAGCTCTCCACGGATGCACCATGCGCGCATCAGTGGTGCGTCGGTTTGCCAGGAGAGGGGGGTTCCTTCCGGGAACGCACATTCAGTTCCCGAACCTGGGGCCAAAAAGGGTGTTCGGCTACCATCATGCACCAGTTCGCTTCGGTGCTCATGCACCTATCCCAGACCCGAGTCAGCAGATCCCAGACCCGAGTCAACACTTGTCAGAAGCTTCTAGGGAGCACGCTTTACTGTAGCGGGTAGCCAAGCCCGTGCTGATGCGCCAGTCGAACAGGGCCCAGGTGACAACACGAAAAGTTTTGGGTTTTACTGTAACAGAAAAATGTAGCCAGACTGGCATTCCAGCCACCTTGCAAGGTGTGACACGTGTAATGCCCCTTGGGACATGTCATTTGAGCCTTTCCTTCTTCAGATTTGCCAGACCAGACCACGGATACCGCAAGAACGGAGCGATGACGACCCAATCCAATTGGATCACTCAATCCGGTGGGATAAGCTGACGTGAACCTCACGTGAGATTGCTTGGCACCGCCAGAAGTCCGTCGCAAAGAACCTCGACGAATCAAGACGACGAATGGTGACTCTCCCCACCACACCCTGCAAGTGTGTGGTGGAAGGCAACGAACACTCCAAGACTACATATTCAATAGGAAAGCACAACTCAAAATAATTGCAGAGTGTTCAGGTGCAATGAATCGAAGTAGCGAGAATTGCACTGTGGTGTCAAACGAGTACAAAAATGTGAGCGAAGGCATGAGCGAACATTTATACGCGAAACATGCAAACGGTAACGCGGTGCGTGCGAGCTAACTAGTGCTACGCTGGAAGCGAGGCTCGGGCTAGTCCCGAGGCGTAGGCCGACACGGCCGGTCCAGCAGTGCGAGGTTTGGTAAAACAGTGCGCGCGAAGTCGGCGAAGCCCCGTTATCAGTAACGGGCGAACAACGGCTGCTGCTGTACGCGATGTTGCAGGGTGCGCTAAGGAATATCGAGAAAATTCCTTACACTACCCCCCCCCCCCCTCAAAAAGCCCCCTCCGCTACGCGAGTGCGTGTATGACGCGGAATCCCCGGCTCCTCAGGTACACTTGCAGGGCAGGGTAGTTTTCGATGTTGGCCAGGGGCACCCAGCTATCCTCAGTTGGCGTGCGGTCCTTCCAGCGAACGAGGAATTCAGTCCTCCTGATTCCCGTGGGGTGTCGAATCCGATGGCTCAGGATTTTTTCGGGCTCGATGATCGGCTCCGATGCAGGGCGAGTCATGGATGGCGGGCGGTGACGAGGCAGTTGGCTTGTGGTTGGGATGTATGGGCGAAGCAGGCTGACGTGGAATGAAGGGCTGGTGTACCAGTCCGTCGGCAACAGTAGGTGGGCTGTCACTGGGGTAATCATGTGACTGATTTGGAAGGGTCCACAGTAGCGCGGTCGTAATTTCGGTACGACGGGCAGTCTAAAGTTCTGTGTATCGAGCAGTACGTAGTCTCCTGACTGGTACGTGACTGGGCGGCGGTGGCGGTCAGCGTTGCGCTTAGTGATGGCATTGGCTTTTTTAATTGCTACTGCGACTCTGGTGCGGGCAGCTTGCAGAATTTCGGCGAATTGTGTGCTCGTGGCGTTGGGTTGTCCGGACTCGGCGTCATGGGCACTGTAGGGTTTTGCCCGTAGTTCAGGTAGAAGGGGGATTGCTGCGTCGTCGCTGACGTGACGTTGTTGTACGCGAACTCGATCAGCGGCAGCTGCTGCTCCCAAGTGGTCGGGTCGTCGCACGTGGCACGAATCAACTGCTCCATTGTCTGATTCGTCCGCTCCGTTTGACCATCGGTCTCGGAGTGGTACGACGAGCTGAACTGTAGCCTGGTCCCGAACTGCTCCCAGAGGTTTTTCCAGAAGTTGCTCGTGAACTTCGTGTCTCGGTCGCTGATTATCGCGGCTGGTATCCCATGTAGTCGAACGACGGCTGAGATGAACAGGCGAGCGGGTTCTTCGGCTGAGATCGATTTCTTGCATGCAGCGAAGTGTGCCATCTTCGTCAACCTGTCAACGACGACCATAACTGCGTCGTTACCCCCAGGGTTCGAAGGTAACCCCGTGACGAAATCCATGGTAACCTGCTGACAGGCGCGCTCAGGCGGTGGAATCGGCTGCAACTGACCCGCCTTTCTTTTTCGCGAGCTCTTCATCACCTGACACGTAGGACATGAGCCCACGTGGTGCTCTACATCGGTCAACAGCTCCGTCCAGTAGTAATACCGCTGCAGTTGCTGTCGCGTTTTTTCTACCCCGAAATGTCCCGAGGTAATCCCGTCGTGTGCCTCCTGTAGTAACAGTTCCCTCAGTAGTGAGTACGTGGGTACCCAGATGCGGTTGGTGCCTGTTTTTACGTAATAGTCTCCTTTGGCCTCTGCCAGTTGCTGTGAATTTCCGGTCGTGAAAAACGGGTCCGTACTGTATCCGTGGGTAAATAGGCCTGTTAACAGTGGGTTGGTTTGGGCGAGTAGGATGGCGTGGAGTTGGGCGGTGGGGCGTGTGAGTGCGTCGGCGATGTTGGATGAGCCTTTTTTGTACGTGACCGTGCAGTGGAAGTTGGACTCCAGATAGTCCAACCAGCGGATCTGTCGTGGGTTGAGATTCGGTTGGGCGCGAAGGTACTGTAGGGATCGGTGGTCTGTCCGTACTGTCACGTCTGCTCCAGTGAGGTAACATCGCCACACTTTGAACACGTGCACTATCGCCAACATCTCGCGGTCGTGTATTGGGTAGTTGCGTTCGGACGGGTGAAGTTTGCGGGACTCGTACGCGATTGGCTGGAGGCCGTTCCCGAAGTCCTGCAACACTACTGCTCCTACAGCGATGTGGCTAGCGTCGGTGACGAGCTCGAACGGGCGGTGCGGATCTACGATGTGAGGTACGGGTGGCGAGCACAAAATATTTTTGAGGGCCGAGAAGGCAGCTTGCTCTTTCTCCCCCCCACATGTACTCAACCCCCTTCCTCAGCAGGTCGGTCAACGGGGCAGTCAGCTGCGCCATGTCGGGGACGAATCGGCGCACGTAGTTGACGAACCCCAGAACTTTCTGCAACTTGGTCAAGTTGGTCGGCGCGTGCCATGCTTGAATCATCGCGATATTTTTCGGGTCTATTTCCACTCCTGCAGCTGAAATAATGTGTCCCAAAAACTCCAGTCGGTCCTGTAAAAACTCACACTTGGACGCTTTTGTCAGTAGGCAGTTCTCACTCAGTATCATAAAAACTGCTTCAATGTCCTGTAAGTGCTGTGCTCTGTCGGGGCTGTAAATCAGTATGTCGTCAAGGTACACGATGACGCACTTATCTAAAAGCGGGCGGAAGGCTTCGTTCATGGTCATTTGAAAAGTGGTGGGGGCGTTGGTCAGTCCGAAGGGCATGGCGATGTATTCGAAGGATCCGTAGCGTGTTCGGAAGGATGTCTTAGGGCAGTCGGGTGGGTTGACGCGAATCTGGTGGTAACCTCCCCGAAGGTCGATTTTTGAGAAAACCCAGGCGGTGCGCAGTTGGTCGATCAGTTCGTCGGCTCGCGGGATGGGGTAACGGGATTTTATGGTAACCCTGTTCAGTGCTCTGTAATCTATGCACATGGGAAAACCCCCGTCCTTTTTCGGTGTGAATAGTATCGGTGCTGCGAAGGGCGACGAACTAGGACGAATGAACTCCTTCTCGAGCAGGTAATCCAGCTGCTTCCTCAGTTCGTCCAGTTCGGGTTGGGTCAATCGGAACTGTCGCTGTACTGTTGGCTCTGCCCCCGGTTCTAGTTCTATCCTGTGGTCGTGCGGTCGCTGAGGTGGCAGTCCCGTTGGTAGGTCGCCCGGGAAAATGTCACTGCACTGCTTCAACAGTGCTGCCAGATCAACTGGTACGTCGGCTAGCAGTTTCTGTAAATCCCCTCCTTTGTCTGCTGCCTCGACTTCCCGAATGTCAACCGCATACACGTCAGCTCCTGCCGCTACAGCGCGTTTCATCGTGATCGCGTTGACACGCACCGACGAAGACTCAGGCGAGCCCCAGCGAGGTAAGGCGATGTTGTTACCGTTCACTCGCACGGTGCAGTCACCCGTCGTCCAGTCGATTCGCGGATTGTGTCGTCGCAGCCAATCACGGCCGAGTAACATATCGGTTCCGTCGAGGGTCGTTGCGAGCTTTTCCTGGCTAAACGTGAAGTTACCCCCGCATCGAATCCGAACTCGGTCCACACGTTCCCGTATCGCCAGTGGCGCGCCGTCAACCAGTCTTGCGTCGATCTCAGGTAAGCATCTGTCCAGTGGCAGTCGTAGTTTTCGTGCTGTGGTAGTGTTGATAAGGCTGTGGCTGGCTCCCCCGTCTACGAAGATTTTAACTAAGTCGGTCCTAATTTTCCCACTAAGCAGTATGGGGCTGTCTACAGTAGTACCCTCCTTATTCGGCCGGGTGTGGTCGATTGCGTGAACCGGCACAATCACTCGGTGAGGGTCGGTTGGGTCGGGCGAGCGGCGTGAGCTGTCAGTAAAGGGTCCGTCTGCTACTGACTCCCAGCGTTTCCCTGCTGCTTGGTCTGTTTCTGCTGCTCAGCTTCCCCCTTTCCCTTAGCGTTTTCCGGGCATTCGCTCTTACGGTGTCTTAGCCGATTGCACGCAAACCAGCGCCCTTTGAATGGTGCGGCAGCGGCATTTGCGGCGACGGCACGTATCGTAGCGCCCTCGTTCGTCCCACGAGGCCGATGTCCCCAATTGCTGCTTCCGTAGGACCCCGGTCTCGGTCGGCGGAAGAAGTCGAGTTTCTCCGCCATAGCGAGAATTTCTTGAAAGTCGGTGACGCCGCGAAGCTGGATTTCCTGAGCGATGTCCTGCTTCAGGCCGCCGATGTAGCGGTCGATGCGCTCGCTCTCGTGCATGTATCCCACCTGCTCGCATAGCGCCATAAATCCGCTCGTGTAGTCCTGGACGGAACCTAGTTGGCGCCAAATGCGGAGCTTCTGTCGCGCCGCGATCGAAGCCGCAATTGGCTCGAAACGAGCGCGCAGACCTGCGCACCACGCGTCCCACGTGCGATACTGGGGCACCTCCACGAAATACGACGGCGCCCAGGGTCCGGTTTGTCCTTCCCGTGTCGGTAGAGTCGCGTAGTCCACCGGCTTCATGACGATGACACGCCACCAGTCCATGGCGGGTCCTCGCAGCAATGACACGGCGTAGCGAATCTTCGCCGTATCCTCCGAGACGTAATTCGCGTCGAAGAAGACGTTCAACGTGAATAGCCACGCCTGAACGGTAGGACCACCCCGTTGACTCGGGTCAAAACACGGCGGACGCTGCGGCTTCAGCGGCATCGGCGACGGTAGAGTCGATTCGCCGGCCGGCACGGACATCGTGACTCGAGGCTGATTCCTGGCCGCATTCGTCGCGTTGGGGTGTGTCGTGCTGTGGTCGTCGTCTCCGTCGTGGCGGACGACGCCATCACTGGCCGCGCTCGCGGGTTGCCCTACGCTTCCATGCTGCGATGTCTGTGGTGCGGGCTGAATCGGAGTGCTAGGTGCTTGGGATTGTGCTTGCTGTGCTTTTGCGATGTCGTTTTGCAGGGACGTGCGTTCTGCCGTCAGCGCCGCGATTTCTTCAGAGCTTTCACGGATTTGCCGCAGCAGTTCGTTCAAGTGCTCCTGCGTGAGAGTGGCGACATCGATATGCTCGGCCATTCCGAAGGGCGTCGGCTCGTCTTACCGGTAGTCTAGGCGCAGTCGTGGCTGCACGCGTTTACGAGAGAACGCGAGGACAGCGGCTCCTAGGGGCTAAGGTGCGTGAGTCCCTTCGAGTGAAAAATCAAAAGTAGATTTCCTGGGGTGCGGAGATGCGCGGTCCGAAAAGAAAGAGGCTCTGATAACCAAGTGTTACGGGTGCAATGAATCGAAGTAGCGAGAATTGCACTAAGGGCGGGTCAAAAGAGTACGTCCGAATGCGGTTCAAAAATGTGTAGGCTTAATCCAGAGCAGTCTATTTAAAACAAAAGATGGTTGGGTAGGGTTTTTCAGCGAATACGTGCAAAGTTTGACGCGCCCTAAGGTGTCAAACGAGTACAAAAATGTGAGCGAAGGCATGAGCGAACATTTGTACGCGAAACATGCAAACGGTAACGCGGTGCGTGCGAGCTAGCTAGTGCTACGCTGGAAGCGAGGCTCGGGCTAGTCCCGAGGCGTAGGCCGACACGGCCGGTCCAGCAGTGCGAGGTTTGGTAAAACAGTGTGCGCGAAGTCGGCGAAGCCCCGTTAGCGGTAACGGGCGAACAACGGCTGCTGCTGTACGCGATGTTGCAGGGTGCGCTAAGGAATATCGAGAAAATTCCTTACATAGAGCCTACAATACAATCACGGTACATGTTGTGGATCCCTACTAGCAGCAGCCTATGGGAGGGAAGGGCATTCCATCCGAGGGAGGCATCAACCTTCAACACCTTGTAGCATGGTGTTTAGGGTTGATGGCTCCCTAGGATGGCATGCCATCCGATAGAGTTTTATTTTTTTTTGCCCACCGGTCAGATCGACGGTCCATAGACGACCGTCGACCTCGTTTTGTTGAGATATTCCTCCAGCCAAGTTGCCAACTCCACAAGAGAAGTGGGAGTTGCAACCCATGGCCTAAAAGAGGAGGTAAGGTTTCAACACCACACCAGAGAGAATCCATGTCCCTCATTGCACATTGTCGATCCTCAAGGCACATCCACATCATCGGAAGTGTTACCGCATGTTTGTGCTCCATTAGGTGTTATGCAGGGCTTTTTTTTGGATTTTCACTACTCGGATTTCCAGAGCTGTTTTCTAGAGAACTCTGAAATTCAGGGTTCATTATGAGCGTTACTCTGATTTGTCAGAGAAAACTTAACTTCTGAAAAATATACTCTGGGCACCCAGTGTACCTATTTTTCCAACTCTGAGTGTCCTCTCAAGTATTGAACCCAGGCCTTCTGCACTCCTACAATCGGGGAGAGGGGGGGTCGGTCGAAATGCCTATACCCTGTACAGAGAAAAGTACATCCGCCACAAATATACACCGGTCTCTCAGAGAAGCTAAAATCAGAACCCTGACAAATCAGAGAAAACTTATCCTCCAAAAAAATTACCCAGACACGTCAGAGTGACCCCCTAAAAACCACTCTGATTTTCAGAGAAACAGAGTAATTTACTCTGATAAAAAACCCCTGGTGTTATGTGTAGCATAGACAACCACTAAGTACATAAATGAATGAATGTTACAGCGAGCACAATTTCCATGTGTATAGTAAAAGATACTGACGTCTTGTCACGGAAGAGGCTCCTGCACGTTACTGAGTCGGTTGAGGTGTAGATAGGCATCAGTACCTGTTGGCATTGAAAATGAGGAAAAAAACACAACCAGGATGTGGTATGGTAAGCAAAGAGAGAAAGTGGAAAACCGCAAAGATGCACAATCGGGAACCACATGCTAATCGCGCCATACGGTATGTCCACACCAGATTCTCCTTTTGTTGTGAACTCTTGCATAGAAAAGCACTTGCTTCAGGCACAACAGCTCACCATATCCTTCCATGCTGAATATTTGCAGGTCACCCCCGAAATATCGCGCGTAGAGTCGAGCAATCGGCAACCCGTAACCGTAACCAGCAATAACGCTCGGCAACTCCTCCCCGTCAGCGCTTGCCATCGTGCTCACAGTCACTTCATCCCCCACTTCATCTACTCCCACTCCCCCATTCTCCTCTGTCAAATCCCATGGCTCGGCAAAACTACTGCCTATAGGAGTGAACCGGGATGGGCGAGGGGACGATGCAGCCGAGGAGGCAGGAGAGGAGGCGAGAGAAATGGCAGATGGAGAGGAAGGGGTGGAGGGAGGCGAGGTGCCGGGAGTGGAAGGACCCGAGGGAGCAGGTGAGGGGGGTTGGGGTTCGCTGGGGTTGAGAGGGTTTGGGGGTTGGCGTAGAGGAGTGGGTATGGAAGCTGTACTGTAGAGGTAGGACCAGATGCGAGGCAAGCCGCTGCGCTTGATCCCTCCCCCCTCGTCTGACACCTGCCAATAGCCATGCCGGGGATGGGAAAAACGGGACTAGAGTGAGCATGCTCTGAGAATCCAGTGACAAGGAATGGTTTACGCAAGTGGGCAATGGGCATGGTGGGGATTTGGAAAATTTGAGGACGGTGGAAAAGTTGCAAGTGCAGCATAGGGAGGGGCGCAACTGCCATTGGGTTGGTGACAGAGGGAGGCCAAGAAAAGGGAATGGTGGAGATTACAGTCAAGAGACAGACGGACTGACGGACTAACTGACTGACAGACAGGCAGACTGACTTACTGACAGACAGACTGATTGACGGACAGACAGACTGACTGACGGACTGACTGACTGACAGACAGACGGACAGACAGACAGACAGACCTTGATAGCCACGTCCTCGATTCCATCGGCCACCACCACGCGCACTGGCGGTGGCTGGGTGTCTGGGAATCGCTCCTGCACAGCCCTGAGGGAGTTCTTGAGCAGCTCAAACAGCATGTGGTGGAGGTGCGTGCGCACATAGCTGGCATGGGATGGGATGGGGGAAGTGGAAGGGGGATCTAGAGATTTGAGAAGGATCAGTCGCAAGAGACTATGGTGCAGGCGCGGGTGCACACATTGGGTGTGGAATGAAGAGGGGTGTGGCGAAGGAGAGGGGGATGGGGATCACGACGATGTCTTGAGGGGAATGCGGAGTCGGGGGCGGCGGAGGTGGGGGAGAATGGAACGAAGTCATGCAATAACAGCAGAGTGAAGCAGTAAGGTAGGGTAGGGTAGGGCGGGGTAGTGTGGTGTAGGGTAGGGTACGGCGGGGTAGTGTAGGGTAGGGTAGGGGTAGGATAGGGGGTAAGGTAGGGTAAGGTAGGGTAGCGTTATCAACGCACGGGAAGGTGAAGGTGGGGTCCCCAAACACGTGGACCTCGGGAGCATTGCCATAGGTGCGACTGCAGAGCGTTCTGGCGTCATCAATGGCATTCCTGGCCACTTCAAAGGGGCGGCACTTGGTGTCTATCAGCCCGATCATGCTCTCCCTGCCCGGCCCTGTCTTGTGCAGCGCTATCTGCTGCCCTGTGCGTGAGTGTGTGCATGGACGGATGAATGCAAGTAGGCGGGAAGAGGAAGAAAGAGAGGTGCGGTTTTTCAATAGACTAGGAAATTCCCTCCCCGCCTAATGCCCTGTGTGTATCGATGCACAAAGAGAGAAGCAATGGAGAGAGAGAAGCAAGCGAGAGTTCATGCCTGTCTTCCACTTGCTGTGCCGCTTATTATATACAATGAGAAGGACCGTTATAGAAGCAAGCGGGAGAGAGATGCAAGCGAGAGAGAGCAGCAAGCGAGGGAGTAGCAAGGGATGGGGGAAGGGGAGGAGCTGACCGATGAGCATACGGATGCCGATGCGAGAGAGGAAGAAGCGGTCCAGGAACTGATGCACCTCGGGGAACTTGTCCATGGGCAGCCATGGGTTGTCCACCTGCCATGCCATGCCGTGCCATGCCATGCCATGCCATGCCATGCCATGCCATGCCATGCCATGCCAGGAGAACACCATGAATGAGCTGAGCCATGAATGAGATATGAACAAGCCAAGCCAGCACAACCATAGCCCACCCATGCACACACTGTGCTGATAAACACTGCTCAAAATGTCTTTCCAAAGATCCCTGTGTGCTGCAAGCCCCCCATTGTGATGCTGCGCCTTCTCTCCCACATGCAACCCCATCCCCTTATCCACCTCCCTACTCCCCTTCCCGTCCCCCTTTCATCGTCCCCCATCAAGCTCACCTGCAGGCGTTTCTTGAGCTCGGCAATGCCGAGCGCCATGCAGGGCACCATGTGGTTGTGCTTCCGCACCTTGTTCCCCACCATACAACCCCACCCCCTCATCCCCCTCCCCTCCGTGCCCCGTTTTCCAGCTCCTTCTCCCCTTCCGTGTGCTCACCTGCAGGCGTTTCTTGAGCTCGGCAATGCCGAGCGCCATGCAGGGCACGGTGTGGTTGTGGCGCGCCTTGTTCCCCCACACACATGCAAGCCCCTCCTCCTGTCCCCCTGACCCCCTTCTCCCTCCTTTCCCTGTCCCCATTCCAACTCCCCATCCTCAAGCTCACCTGCAGGCGTTTCTTGAGTTCAGCAATGCCGAGCGCCATGCAGGGCACGGTGTGGTTGTGGCGTGTCTTGATGCGCTCTATGAGGCGCGTGAACGCCACCTCCTCCTCTGCGCCCTGCACCTCGGGGAAGTTGCGCAGATCCATGAACGACTGCACGTACCACTCCCGCACCTGGTGGGGGGGAGGGGGAGGGAGGGAGGGGGGGGAAAGAGAGAGGAAGGGAGAAAAGGAGGGGGAAGAGAGGGGGATAGGGAGAAAGGAAGGGGGGAGGATGGGAGGAACGGGAGGGAGAGAGGATGGCTGATGGTCGGGGCACAAGTGTGTCGGGAGTCGGTGAGAGTCAGCGAAAGTAGATGGTGGTGGGTGCCAGGCACCTCCTCCTCTCCGCGCCCTGCACCTCGGGGAAGCTGCGCGGATCCATGAACGACTGCACATACCACTCCAGCACCTGGTAGCGTGGAGGGGAAGGGGACGGGATGGAGAGGGGGATGGGGAGAGGGAGAAGGGGAGGGAACATGGGGAGCAGAGAGGGGAAGGGGGCGAGAAGGGGAGGGGGGGCACGGGATTGTCATGGCAATGCGTGGCATCGTGTGGCCTGGTTCAGCGTTGCTGCAGGATGGCATGGCTGGCATGGGACCGACAGGTACCTTGAGCACATGGGGCATGTGCGAGAGGCCGTGCGGCAGGTGGTCGAGCTCCGCGATGGTGGTATAGTGTGGCCCAGCCTGGCATTGGTGCCATATGGCATGGCATGGCATGCTGCATGGCATGGCATACCTTGAGCACGTGGGGCATGTGCGAGAGGCCGTGCGGCAGGTGGTCAAGCTCCGCGATGCGGTGCGCGAAGCGGATGGGCAGCTCGTTGTGCAGGAAGCGCGCCGATGCCACCAGCGACGACGCCTCCGTGGGCCGCGGGCGGAAGCTCATCATGTAGCTCAGACTCACGCCCGTGCGCTTCTGATCAGGTCACGATCATGGACGAGCGGACGGACGGATGACGGACGGATTGACGGATGGATTGACGGATGGATTGACGGACATGAGGTGAACGGACGGACATGATGCGGGCGGCGGGCGAAGCAGGGAACGGGTTATGGGTGAGTGCTGTTGAGTGGGCGCGGAAGGCGCGGACGGACGGATGGACAGACGAGGACGGACGGATGGACGGACAGATAGATGGACGGACGGATGGACGGAAGGACGGACAGACGGACGGAAGTGAAGGAACAGGAGCATATAAACTATACCAGGGGAGTGGTGGGGTTAGCGGGAGGAATATATGATGGGTGAGTAATGAGAAGAGTGAAATCGCGAGTCACAGCACTTCTTCTTGGCGCACTACTGCTCCTAAGCTAATCAGAACAGACCAGACAGGACCAGACCGGACCAGAATCTGACCGCGCGCTTCTATGTTGACCAACAAAGGTGGCGAGAGGAGGCGAGACGAGGCGAGAAAAACATGTGTTCGTGGCGAGTGCTTTGGTGGGATGAGAGCTTTCGGCGGGGTGTGCGTAAGGATCATAACCGCTTGCCGGGGTTGCTTCCGTGCTGATAGCACGGCCGTTCACAGCGACGCCCTAACTGGGGCGCAAAAAAAACGCTCGTGAAACGCGTGGTGGAGAATGACTCAGGAAATTAGGCGCGCTTACAGCGAGGATTGGTGGTGACGTCATTCGAATACGGAGGACCTACTACTGTTGAAGCGCTATTGATTTAGGTGGTGACGTCTTTCGGATTGGTAAGACGTACTTTGAGCGAGCTCCGGTGAATGTCCGCCCAAACGGCGCGCGGAATCGTGTCCGCTAGCCGCCGGAGCGCGGGTAGCGCCTCCCGCGTTGGCCCCATTGCGATGATAGCGCCTCCCGCCTGCCTGCCTGCTGGCCGCCTGCGCTCGAATTACGTTTCAGTTGACTCGACTCGACCTAGACGCAGTAACTTCTCTTTCCTTCCCTTCCTCGATCGTCTCTCTGTCGCTCCACGCTGCCTTCCGCCGCTCGCTCCTTCGCGCCAATTTGCTTCGTCGCTCACCGAATGCGACGACGCACTTGGATCGCACGGTCAGGAACGTCGCGCGCGAGGACACGACCCTACTCGTCGGGACTCTATTCTTCACCCCGCGTCGGAGCCTAGGGAAACGAAGCGCACGTGCAGTGCAAACGATATGAAGCAGGATAAAGAACTGATCTCACATAGCTCCAGGAGAAGTGCAAGTAATATGTACAACGGGGTGAATCAGGATGGAGCAGGTGTAGGTGCTTCTAGGTTCCGCCAGTCTAAGATCGAGGTGGGGGTGAGGTACCTCAATGTGGAGCCCCGAGGTGGTGTCGTTTCAAAGGAGTGTTGCGCGGCCCAGCGGGTTTTTCAGAGGTGCGTGGTTTTCGGCAATATCAAGGTTCGAGGTTGCAGTGTGAATGCGCTGTGGCGGGCTGGACCACACTGAATTCATGAACCAACTGAAAAAGCTGAAATTTATGTACAGTCAACCATCTACATGAGCGTGAGTGCTAGCACAAATACCGTACTAAAATTATACACATCAGTCTTCCCTGTTAAAAGAAAAAAGGCAAATGTCATGTCAAGAGCCGGAGTGCCGTTTGGAGGATATTAGGCGTCCCCGGCCTGGGTATATGCAAAGCAAAGCCCTTATGCTTCTCCTCTCGCTTCACTCCGTTTCCACCCTTAGCCCCTTGCTGCCCCTCTCTATCATAATCCTCCTCCCTCCCACCCCTCCCACTCTCTCTCATACTTCCACCTCTAGATCTCTCCCTTGCCCACATACCTTGCACTTTACTCCTCCTCCCATCCAACACCATCCCCACCTCCTTCCCTCCACTCTCCTCGCCTTCTAGCTCTTCCTCCCACTTCCCACCATCCCCCCCAACCATCCCTTTCTCTCCCCCCACATGCACATCCACCTCCCTACCATCCTCTCCCACACGACTCTTCCTGTGAGCCCCTCCTTTCCTCTCTCCTTTCACCCTCCCCTTGGCCTGTCCTGGGCTGTCCACACTCTCACCCACATCAGCATACGGGCCAATGCCATCCCAAGACATGCGCCTCTGCCCCTTGGCCAACCCCTTGCCACCAACACGACCAGCACTGCCGGGCATCCCAGAACGACCAACCCCACCATCGCCATCAGCATAACCACCACCACCACCACCACCACCGCCACCAGCACCAGCATCGCCATAACCATTAGCATCAGCAACACCATCACCGCAATCAGTATCACCCCCATGGCTACGGCTCTGCCTCAGCCTGTCTTTCCTGCTTCCCTTTCTCGTCAACGCAGGGCTCATCTTCCGCTCATTCCGCTCACCATCCCTGCTTTCCACCCTGCTTGTCTCACCGTCCTCATTCCCCTCGCTCCTGCTGCCATTCTTCCCCCCCATCCACTTGAATGGACTCACACTCCTGCCCTCCTTGCCCTTACCCTCCTTGCTCTTGCTTCCCTTGACTTTGCTTTCCTTACTTTGGCTTGACTCACCCACTTTGCACGATTTCTCCTTACCCCGCAATCGGTCCTCATATTTGTCTGTACCCCTATCCTGAATAGGGTCTTGCAGGAATTTTCGGCTAGTGTTCTCTTTATCTACATCCTCACTCCCCTCCTTCCCCTTCCCGTTCCTATCGGCCTCTTTTTTCCTTGTCTGTTTAGAACCCTTGGCCTCTGCACCTTTCTCCACCACTGCTTGTCCCTCACTCTCCCTGCTCCCTTTCGCCTTACCCTTTCTCTCTTCCCTTCCCTTCACTCCCTCACTATCCCCACTCTTCCCAGCAACACCCATCTTCTCGTTCCCTCTCTCCTCCTCGCCCTTCCTCCTCATCCCACCACCCTTCACTGCTACTCTCCCAGGAATCTCTCTCACGCACGCCTTCCCCCAAGTCACCCGCCGCTTCTGCTGCTTTTCCTCCTCTCCCTCCGCTTCTTCCCACTCCTCCTCCCCTTTTGCCTTACCGCCTGGTCTGCACTCACTGGTGGTATGACTGCGCCTCATGTGCCCTACAAGGGGGGAGGAGCTACGGCTCAAGTTAGAAGAAACGGGTGACCCATTCACTCCTGTTCCGACCGCCCCTGCAACCAGGACTCCTGGTGACATCCCTGCTTCAGCAGCAGCAGCAGCTGCTTCCGTTGCTGTAGCACTAGCTGCATCCAAAGACCCTCCCCTCATGTGCCTCGGCAGGCCATGACCCTGCCCATTGCCTCCACTCCCTCTCCTCTCTCTCCTCTCTCTCCTATCTCCCCCACCCCTCACCTCCTCCTTCTCAACCACCCTTTGCCCATCCTCCGCCTTTTCGTCAACCCATGCACAACCCATCGTACCAACCATCGTCCCATCCTCATACCCTTCCTGATTCTTCCCATCTACCACATTCTCTTCCTCTAAATCCCCACACTCCTTCCCAGAATCCTCCCTGCCTTCCTTCCGGTACCATCCAGCAACAGACGATGCCACAGGCGCACAGTAGAGATCATCGGCATCTCCAAGGGACGCCCTTCGTACCACCGCCTTCCCTCCTGCTACTCGCCCCACCCTTTCCGCTGAAACTCCTGAAGCAACGGCTGCCAAACTTGCACCAGCAACAACAACATCAGCACCAGCGGTGGCACCAGCAGCAGCAGCAACAGCCCCACCACCATTCCAATCAGCAGCAAAACCACCACTGGCAGCTTTCCTCTCCCGCATAGACCCTCCCGAGAGCCTTCCCCCCTTTCCAAGCCGACTGGCCCTGTGGGGAGAACCATACGCACCTGACTTCCCTCCCTCCTCATACTGCTGCTGCTGCTGCTGCTGCTGCTGTTGCTGCTGCTGCTCTCTCAGCCCCATAAGAGGCTGCTGCTGTGAGGACACATGCTGCTTGCTGGTGCCATTCTGCCAGTG